CACTCACACACACACACACACACGCTCACACACACACACACACACACACACACACACACGCTCACATGTAGCATTTGAAGGGTAACATGAGGATGTTTCTGCTGCCATCAGGCGCTTTAATGCACAATAACTGTATTTTTTCTGTTTGTGTATATGTCTCTGTACTATCATTATAAGGTATAGTATGTTTTAAGCAAAAGTTTTTGATCTAGGAATGTAGTCAGATAGTCCGTTGTTGTCTGTGTGTAAGATCTGTGTGGTTGCTGCTATTGTAACAAATCTAATTTCCTATAAAGGGTTAATAAAGGATCTGTCTATCTATCTATCTGCTGACATGAAGAATGGTCATCTTCTGCTCTCATGTGAACAGACACATTTACAGATGTTTGGTTTGTTCCAGAACATCGAGCTGAAGGTGGAGGTGGAGAGTCTGAAACAGGAGCTGCAGGAAAAACAGCAACTGCTGGATAAAGCACTGTACGTACATCTGTCTGTCTCTTATCAGTCCTCATATATCCTCCTCCTGTCTCTGTGCTGATGAGTTAGAGCGCTGGAGAGAGAGAGAGGCGGGTGTGACTGGTTTAATAGCTGGTTATATGAGCCGATCCTCATTCCTGTTTAAAAGCAGCCCACAGATGAACATGCTTACAGACACAGAGACATGAGCCATTCTGAGCCACAGCACAAACGTGTGTGTGTGTGTAAGAGAGAGAGAGAGAGTTTGTGTGTGTGTGTGTGTGAGAGAGAGTGTGTTCCACAGCAGTGATGAGAAATCTGTGTGCTCTCTGTTGCTCGCTGATAGCCTGGTAAAGTTCACTGAGTGCCTCGATTCATTCGCTGTTGTTAGCGCTGGGGGATATATAAACAGCTACGAGTAAAATGACTGTAAATTCCCTCGGTAGGTAGAAGGGTCGGCACTTGATAATAATCAACTTTACCAGCGGAGAACAGTGTGTGAGTGTGTGTGTGTGTGAGTGTGTGTGTGTGAGTGTGTGTGTGTGTGAGTGTGTGTGTGTGTGGGAGTGTGTGTGTGTGTGTGTGTGTGTGTGTGAGTGTGTGTGTGAGAGAGAGAGAGTGTGTGAGTGTGTTAGGGCTGGGCGATATAGCTAAAAAATGTATCACGATATAATGTTTCATATCGTTCTGTATCGATAATTATTGAAAATTTTTATAACCTTTCTTAAACAGAGAGCAGTAGAAAAAAATGTTTGAATTTAACCACTGTATTTTTAATTTATTAAGACAAACAACAACTTTTAGTCTTAACAAACAAAATTACAAATAAAACAAAATAACAAAATAAAATTTAAACAAATATCTCCTTTGTTATATATTATATGGAGATTAAATAAGTGTTAAGGAAACATTTGGCCTGTTTCTTGAGGCCACAGGAGGGCGCGATGAGCAAAATAATGCACCTCATTAAAATTGTTTTTTCAATGCAATGAAATAACGACTGTCTATAAAAAAGTGCATACCGTCTAAACTAATATTTGTAAATCAAATATAATTTTGTAAATTGCATAAACAATTATGAATAAAACAGCATCATGTATTTATGCATAGCTTAATACAAATAAGCCACACACACACACACACTCACACACACACACACTCACACACTGTTCTCCGCTGGTAAAGTTGATTATTATCAAGTGCCGACCCTTCTACCTACCGAGGGAATTTACAGTCATTTTACTCGTAGCTGTTTATATCCCCCCCAGCGCTAACAACAGCGACCGAATCTAGGCACTCAGTGAACTTTACCAGGCTATCAGCGAGCAACAGACAACACACCCGGACGGATTTCTTATCACTGCTGGGGACTTTAATCACGCAGATTTAAATTATTTTCTACCAAAACTTCATCAGCACATAGACTTTCCCACAAGGGGCAACAATACATTGGACTTGGCTTACACAAACAGCAAAGGAGCATACAAAGCCTCCCCCCTCCCCCACCCTGAACTCTCTGACCACATCACCATCATGCTCAGACCTGCGTACAGACCGAAGGTGAAAGTTACCAGACCAACCAAGAAGGAGGTACGTGTGTGGCCAGAGGGGGCCCAGTCTACCCTTAAAGATTATTGCTTTGACACAACAGACTGGGACACCTTTAAAGAAGCAGCAACTTACAACAACCACACAGACATAGAGGAATATACTGAAGCTGTTACTGCTTACATCTCAAAGTGCACTGATGACGTCACACACAGGAAAACCATCACTGTTCGGGCTAACCAGAAACCATGGCTGACAGGATAAGTGCACAAGCTTCTGAGGGCTCGGGACGCAGCCTTTAGAGCTGGTGACACTGCAGGCCTAGCAACAGCAAGAGCCAACTTGCAATACAGCAATAAAATATCTGGACATTTCAGCAACACCAGAGACACACAACGTCTCTGGCAAGGCATCCAAACTCTAACAAACTATAAAGCCCTACCACGGACCTGTGACAGTGACATATCTCTGATTAACTGCCTCAATGAATTCTTTGGCTGATTTGAGACCCAAAACAACACACAGGCACAGAAGATCCCACCTTTCCCACACGAGCAGGCTGTGTGTCTGACCCCAGACAGCGTGAAAAAGACCCTCCTGAGGATCAACCCACGCAAGGCAGCCGGACCAGACAACATACCTGGTCGGGTTCTAAAGGATTGTGCTGAAGAACTCAAGGATGTACTAACTGACATTTTTAACATCTCGCTGAGTCAAACAGTCGTCCCCAAGTGTTTCAAGGCCACCACAATAATTCCAGTACCAAAGAAGCCACACCCATCCAGCCACAACCGGCCCATTGCACTGACCCCGATCATTATGAAGTGCTTTGAGCGACTGGTCATGCAGCACATAAAATCCATTCTTCCTCCCTCCCACGACCCGTTCCAATTTGCATACAAAACCAACAGGTCCACGGAAGATGCCATCTTAGCTGCTCTCCATCCAGCGCTTACACACCTGAACTCCAAAGACTCCTATGTGCGAATGCTATTCTTGGATTTTAGTTCAGCATTTAATACAATCGTCCCACAGCAGCTAATAAACAAACTGAGACACTTGGGACTCAACTCCCCTCTCTGTAACTGGGTGTTGGACTTCCTATCAGAGAGACCACAAAATGTACGGGTCGGCGGAAAAACATCTAAGACCATCACGCTAAACACAGGGGCACCACTAGGGTGCGTACTCAGCCCGCTGCTCTTCACCCTGTTGACCCACGATTGTGTACCCAGTCACAGTACCAACCACCATCATCAAGTTTGCGGACGACACGACTGTAGTGTGGGCCTCATAACCAACAACAATGAGGCCAACTACAGGAGTGAAGTGAGCCGACTGGTCCAGTGGTGTAATGACAACAATCTCTTCCTCAATGTGGGGAAGACAAAAGAACTTGTCATCGACTTCAGAAGAAGACCTCCACAGCACCCCCCACTAACCATCAACGGTGCCATAGTGGAGAGGGTGAGCAGCACCAAGTTCCTAGGGGTGCATATCGCTGAGGACCTCTCCTGGACGACAAACACCACATCGCTGGCCAAGAAGGCTCAGTCACGCCTCTACTTCCTCCGAAAACTAAGGAAAGCATGAGTCCCACCTCCCATCATGTGTTCCTTCTACCGGGGCACCATTGAAAGCATCCTCACCAGCTGCATCACAGTGTGGTTCGGATGCAGCACTGCATCCTGTCGAAAGACTCTGCAACGCATAGTGAATGCAGCCAGCAAGACCATCGGTGTCCCTCTGCCCTCCCTTATGGACATCTTCCACACCCGCCTCACTAGCAGAGCCATCAGCATCACTGCTGATAGCTCACACCCGTTAAACCTCCACTTCAGCCTTCTGCCTTCAGGGAGAATGTACTGGAGGCTCCAGACTCGCTCCACAAGGCTTTCAAACAGCTTCGTCCATCAGGCTGTCAGGAAGCTGAACTCTGTGCATTACCTCCCCCCCTCTTCCACCTACTCCTGAACTTCAAAACATCTACAGTTCATACCACATTTCTTTCATTGCACACAGGACACTTTATACTCTCTGCACTAATGCCATACTGCTGATATCTGTCTTGTAGCTTACAAATGCCTTTATACTCAGAACTTCAAAATGTTTACATATTTTGGATGTATATTTGCACTTTACAAATTGTTTACATATATTTGGATGTATATTTATACATTAACAAAGTTCAGTGTTTACATTTACTCATGTATATTCATTCAGAAAGTTCTACAAGATTTATTTACTCGGTCTATATATATATATCTGTTTCATCTCTTGTGCGAGACGCGAGTGTTCAGTCATAGTTGTGCGTCTCAAGAACGCGCCGAATATGCATTCTGTGTGAATGGCTTGTTTTCGGTTTTAACCAAAACAATCTTCTCTGCATTGAGCTTCTGTATTTCTCTAATATTTTGAATGAAAAATGCAGCAGCGGCGCATCTTGTGTGTTCAACTGGATATAGGCAAGGCAAGGCAAGTTTATTTATATAGCACATTTCATACACAATGGTAATTCAAAGTGCTTTACATAAAAGAAAAGAAAAAATAATCACAACAATAAAACAAGGAATTTAAAAACTTTGAAAATGATTAAAAAATCGATTTAAGAGGTTTAAAATGAATTTAAAACGGTTAAGAATAGAAAACGATTATACATAAAATATAGTGCAATCAGTTCGGACATTGCACAGTGTTCATTCAATAAATGTGCAGCTAAACAGATGAGTTTTGAGTCTAGATTTAAATGTGACTAATGTTTTAGCACATCTGATCTCTTCTGGAAGCTGGTTCCAACTGCGGGCGGCATAATAACTAAAAGCAGACTCCCCTTGTTTTGTGTGAACCCTTGGTATTTCTAACTGACTCGATCCTAATGATCTGAGTGGTCTGTTAGGTTTATATTCAGTGAACATATCTGCTATGTATTTAGGTCCTAGGCTATTGAGTGATTTATAAACGAGTAAAAGTACTTTAAAATCAATCCTAAATATAACTGGAAGCCAGTGTAAGACTATAGACTAACAAAAACATTAAAATGCAACAACGACACTTACATCATCATCACCGTATCTCGTGTGCCGTTGATAAGCTCCTTGACGGACACCTAAAACTCAAATACACTGTTTCTGCATTCGAATTCGAATATTATTTTAAATTCAACTAATATTCCTTTTTTGATTCACAGTTTCCTCACCGCAGGCAGGCACGGCACTCATTTGAGCATGTGTTTGTGTATTCTGTTGGCTCTCTGCTTGTCACTCATTATGTGCCTTTAAATGAAAAAAGTGTGAAACTATCGTGCATTTTTTATCGTGCAACATTTTTTTTGTCATCATCATTATCGATGATGGTGTACCGTCGATAAATATCGATACCGTTTTATCGCCCAGGCCTATTGTGTGTGTGTGTGTGTGTGTGTGGGTGTTCTGGCCAGTTTAACTCGGATGTGCTGCTAGATGTTTGTCAGCAGACAGACTCACATGACCTCCAGCTAGAACTGCAAAACACTCGAATCAACAGCAGATGTGCAGAATCCCTGCGCTCTTGAGTTCTTACTAGCATAACACTATTGACTTGATATTTGACAGGACAGCAGCAGAGAGTCTGACCAATCACAATGAAGCAGAGCTGCAGCGACGGTGTGAAGAGAGACAACAGGAGATCGATCACATGCAGCAGGTGCTGGAGACCAAGATCCAGATACTGCAGGAGGTACAACAGACACACACACACACACACACACACACTCATACAGTACATGAGTGTGGTGATGATGGTGATGAACTCGCCGTGTGGCAGGAGGCTCAGTTAGCGCGGGACGAGGCCGAGCGCAGGGCCAGCATGGCTGAATCTCACTCGCAGCATCCCTCTGTCACCATGGAAACGGTCCCCAAGGAAACATCAGGAGACACGAGCACATGGCCTGATGAAGATGCAGACAGAAGGAAGTGAGACGATCAGTCCATCTTGCTGAACACTCACACACACACACACACACACACACACACTCACATGAGTGGTATTGATTGTGTTCTGTGTGTGTGTGTGTGTGTGTTGTGCAGGATCGAGCAGCTGAGCGCGGTGCTGTGCTGTAAGGAGCAGGTGATCAGAGAGCTGACGGAGGAGAGGACAGACCTGAGACAGAGAGTGAGACACATGGAGGAGCAGCTGGAGCAGCTGTCTGCCTCTCTGCTGCAGAAAGAGAGAGACGTGCAGGTCTGTCTGCGCACACACACACACACACACACACACACACACAGACACACACACACACA